TAAAAGGGAGTTTTTCCTTCCCACTGTCGCCAAAGTGCTTGCTCATAGGGGGTCATATGATTGTTGGGTTTTTCTCTGTATCTATGAAGCGCCTTGAGGTGACTTTTGTTGTGATTTGGCGCTATATAAATAAAATTGAATTGAACATAGCTCCTAAAATCATATTCAACAATCACAAAGCCTGCGCTATAAAGACCGTCGTTAAATCTCTGGTTCCTTAGCTCCAGTTGGAGCTGTCTTCTCCTTTATTTTAGTAGGAACAAACTAGTCTGGGCTTTTTTTACAGTGATTCTGACGGATGCATGTTAGTGGTGATGTATGCATTCAGAGAGCAAATCTGTGTTGTGCTTGTTCAGCTTCTGTTTTATCTCCTGTGCTTTTGTAGCATTTTTTGATTTGAGGGTGTTTTCTTAGGCTGCAGTGTGTTGGAGCTCATGCAGCTCTGCTCTCATGGTGCACACACACCGTCAGGCTGTGGATACAGGTGTCTGGATGTGTAATAATACATCTGCATCTACCTTTGGAGCCTTTATATTCTAAAACACAGGCCACAGGCCGGAAACCTCCACCTGGGAAATAATCACTTAGTCATTAGTAGTGATGGATAACCATAATAACCCACTTTAAATAGTGTGTTATGTGGACATTTAGGGCCCAGGGCAGCTCAAATCTTTTTTCAGAATCAGCAAACAGTTATGTGCTTAGATCACCACCAGAGCCTTTTTTTAATGTGCCCCTGAGTACACGTGAGTGCTGATGAAGACCATTTTTCTGCCACCACACTTTGTTCAGGCTAATTTACTGCTGGTCACTAAGGATTAAGATAACACACTGCTAAGAATAACTGCACTCGCGGTGAGGTTGAAGTAGAGGTCGAAAGCCTCTGTTAAACACAGTGTAACTGTACCTGTCGGGCTGATATGGCTGCTGCTTTGTCCTCGCCCAGCACGGCAGAGTAATAGTTCAGGTTCTGGTTCATCACCTCGTCCTCAGGGTGGAACAACAGGAAGGTCTTAGCACACTCTATGGCCTTCTCGTACTTCTCAGCTGGAAAGAAAAGACAAAAATCCATGGAATCATGGATGTGAAGAAAAAGGATGTTGTTGGATTTACAGCATATATCCTTGTTCTTAAAGACATCCTGTACCTACAGGGGACCCTAAAGTTACAGAATGGAAGAATTTTATAATAATGATTTATATAGCGCTTTTCAAGGCACCCAAAGCGCTTTACAAT